AGTTACGTCACAAATATACCGGGTGCATGAAGTATACTTGTGAAAACACGCAGAACGTGCGGACATGCATGCTGTTGCACTCGGATAATTAGATCGACACGATTATTAGTGTCGCTAGCGGAACAATAGATAGATAGATAGATAGATAGATAGATAGATGAATATATCTGTGCGTGCATTTAATTGTAAAAGCTCACCTCCAAGGAAGAAAAATATGATCAAAAGGCAGAACTTGATTAAATTTTTAAGCAGATTTTCTAATCAAAAAATATTTTGATATTTTCTAAAATCCTTGAAAATAAAATTTTCTTTAAGAACTTACTATTTAAATGTCGATCCCGCTTTATTAGTGCATCAAACATTATCGTTGAAAATTAAATTATCGTAGAAATTTTTAAAATTAAAATTTTTTTTAATTAAAAATTTAAATAAAAATAAAAATTTTTAATTCCTTAAGAACTCACTGTTTAAATCGATTCCGCTTTACTGATACTTTAAATACTTTACTGATACTTAAATTATTATCGTTGCATTAAGAATTACTCTATAAATTATCATTCTAATCGACTTTTATTTGTGTTTAGCACTTGGGTTTCCCTCATGGACGTGGACTTTTATAATCGAGCGCACGTGACGTATGAATAAGTATGATATAATGCGCACTGGTCGGCCGGATGTGTGCGACGGGCGCGTTATACTCGTGTATTAATCTCGCTGAAAATATTCCAAGAAAGTCTGTCCATTTTTTCGAATATCTCGAAAGTATTTTAACCTTCATTATCCTGTCTTTTGCACGTCAAAGGAATCGCGCAGTACATACATATATAGGAGGTTCCTCGTGAATAAAAATTCAGGACAGCCTGTAAAATCTCACACACCTACACAGGACTAAGATTGGTGCTAATGAAAAAGGCAAAAAATACACACACAAATACATTTCTGAAATACACATATATACATGCATACAGATGCGCGTTTCTTTGACGACGCGTGAATACGCATCGATCATTCTGGAATTGTAATCGCGGCAACGGGGTTTCTTCCGACCTTGTCCGCCGGGTATTACACGCAATCATGTACAGGTGGATGCAGGTGTATGTGAGAGAGTGCGCGCGCTAGTGCACGCGCTGCATACCAATCCTATGGCCCGTGTCCGTGCTGCGATTTTTTAGCGTTGCACGCGTTCACGCGATTCTCTTCCGCAAGATCATACGGCCGTGTTCGAACGCATGGTTAAATAGCAGCCGCGACGTTACAAATTCGCGTAGAGCGTGCACTAGCGGAAGATATTGTTCTCCAAGTTCTGGTTTGAAACGGAACTCCGCCTTGTGCTTATCTCCCTCTTAATTAATCTGAAAAATTGGTCTTGAGTAAATTTAAGAAATGTGCATATAACGAAGAATTTTAATTGAGGATGAATATAATTGAAGAGAAACTTACTGACGAAGTTTTCGCAAGAATTACATTGTGATAGCGTCGCGTGCGTGTCTTCCCTCTGAAGGATCTCTCTTTTTGTCCTTACAAATTATTACGTAGATTTTGAATTGATAAACATTACTAAATTTCAGCTGCAAATTATTATCGAGTAAAAGTACATGAATTTTATAGGTCTCGTAAAAGAAGAACTCCGCACATATACATTGACTTGTATATGATTTGAAAACCGTTCCTGAAATCTTTGAAAGAATTTGGGAAAAGATATCATTAATCAGAAAATACATTTCTAGTTATTATAAAATTTCGTGCATTCCGATGACGAGTGCATCGTTAGGAAAAATATATGAAACCAATATATATATATATATATAATCACAAATACAATATTTTATACTATTTTAAGATCTACGCATGTATGCGAAGAACGTAGAAAAATTACGTTCAATCGTTTTCGGAATTCGATACTGTGCCAATAATAAAGTTTGCGATTGACTAGAGTTTACTATCACGCGATGTTATTAATAGCAATACTAAGAGAGAAAAAAAACATTAGACGAACCTCTTAGCTTAAAAACAGTGCTTCCCTATAAATCGCATAGCGACTCGTGCTCTTATCGATGACCCGTAGACGTCGATAACATTTTGGACCTTCCATAAGTGATATCAGTCGTCTTCCATGATATCGCGTTACTGTAAATATAGCGATTTCCAATCCCATACTAAGGAATTGAATTCCGTGACATTTCCTCCTGTCGCGTTTCATTCTGAAAACCACGACAAATTTTTTAAGTAGAAGAAAGATAAAACCAAAATTTTTCAATTATTCCAATTTTCAAGATTAGAATTAATTTTACATTAGTCCTTCTTAAGTCGACCGTTCTTCTTTTGTGAGATTTAATTAATTGAAACGAACGAGATTAATTAAGCAGGGAGACGCGCGAGAGATGTTGGCGGTGCACTTCAATCTTCCATAATGACTCTTAAATGTTAAATAATACTAATCATAAGGCGTAAGAAGGCTGAGCTCACGCAAGTTGAGTGCGACTTGGGTGCGCGAACCGAGAGTACATTCGTGCGAGAAGATAAATTATTTATTTGTTTACGATAACGAAAGCGTAATTCGGGCGGCTCGCGCGCGATTTTTCCTCAATAACTAGTATCGACTATCAAACGAGACGCTCATTTTCAATACCCGCTATTATCTCGTTGCGAAAAGAGAATTTTTATCTCTCTTATGAGATAAAAAACTTTACTCTTTTCTTTATTTTGGATAAAAAATCTATAGAAAATATAGAATGGTATTTTTTATGTGATAAAATTTGTTTGAAGAATTGTGCTTAGCATCTTCGGTATCGAATGAATCTCATAGGATTCTCGAGATGTTATGCAGTTATCGTCAATAAAATATCATATTTCTGAATGATCAAGAACTATTTTTACATTATTGATATCTTATCATGAAGATTTTCCATCAAAATACAATCGAAGCTTCAACGCCAGAGAAGCTTCTACAAAGAGCTCAATATAACTTCAGAACGATTATCATTTAAAGAACCTAACTTCCTAAGACCCATGATGGCCCATTTCTTTTCATGTATGCAGATTAACTTAATTTTAGTTTAATTTGTTGTTTATCTTTCTAATTCTTAGAACTAGAAAAAGGTCAAGAATAAGTTAAACTAAGATTGAAGTTAATCTACATTCGTAGAAATGGATAAAATAGGGTTATTTCAATCAAACTCCGATTAACTTAATAGGTGATCAGCTCAACTGGTAGCGAATTCAATTTTATAACACAAAAGTTTCTAGCTACATAATTCATTATCATTAATCTAATCCTTTTTCTCTTACAAAGAACCAATCGTTCTATCTTATTAACGAAATAATACTAACACCAAAATAATCATCCGATGGAGTTAATTGGAATTATTCAGAATGGATTCCGATCGGAATTATTCAATTATTCCCTAGATTTTTATTGTGTTTTCTAGGAAAAATGGAAAACTCGAGATCTCGTGCTCGGATCCTGGAGAAAATCCGGCGGGTTTTGAAAATACGCGGTTCGCGTAAACGCGACTGGCGTTGTAAGTAGTACAGCAAGCGCGAGTTCGCCCGCGAATGCAACCGTCTAAAGGTGCATGCGGTGCACTTGTACGTACTGTAAGTGCGAAAAAAAATTAAAAAAAAAAGAGAAAAGAGAACTGTAGCAATTACGATCGTGCGCGTCGTTCGTTGGCGAAGGCTAATGGAACGTGTTGTGCATTACGTATCAGGAAAAGGAAATAAAATCAAAATCGAGACCGAGTATTGAGTCCCCATCTATTTGTTGCTATCCATCCATCCTTTGTCCATTCCAATATTCAGGCTGCGATTCTGTCGACGAGAAAAAAAATCAACAGTCAGTATCCGATTTTATATGTAGAAAGCAAAAACTTGATGTCTGAACTTACGAAAAAAAATTTAAAGAATTGATGCTACTTTCAGAGTAACTTCCATCAAGATTCGATCAATTTAATCAGCAATCAAATTCAATTCTTAAGAATTGAGGTCGTCAAATTTCTGAATTATTCGTCTTTTTTTTATGCATTAATCCTCCAGAGCTGACGCTAAATCTGTAACACAATTACTAAAGCTGGATCTGTTAATAAGACCTCCATTTAATTTTTGTTAATTATAAAAAGGCACTTATAATTACTCATGCAGCACAAAATCTTACATCAGCAGTATTTTTATATTTGTATGTTACGGCAATATAGCTGGATTGTTGTAATTGAACAATTTCGATCAGAATCCAAATAATTTCATAATGCCCTGGAGTCCCAGAAATGATTTAATCTCCTATAGATGTTGGATTCAGATTCGCACTCGAGTATCACTCAAGTATCACTTCACTCTTGTTATTTGTTAAACGTTAAACAAGGATGATGACATTCCAGTGGGAATTCGAACACGCCCCTGTATAAGTATGTATAGATATACATAAATTTCAAGGAACCAAAATATGATATAACTTTTATAAAAAAAAGAATGAATACTAAACATATTTTAATAAGAGTAATCCAAACGTCCATGCAACATAAAGAAAATTGTTTAACCTTTTTAACAAAGACATTTATAATTAAATGTACAACAGACTCACCATCAGAGGGTTAAGCAATAGATGATCGATAATTTTATATTAATAAAAGTAATCGGAGTTCGCGCGCGCGCGATCATCCTCACGATCATCATCATGCATTGCTTTTTCTTCTTCTTTTTTTTCTTCTCCTTCCGACGCTAATCATCAACATTGACTTCGCTTCGCCTTCGCATTTAAATCTCCCCTCGAAACTTCCATGATCATAAAGTGGACACCTTGACACAGACTGGAAATACGGATACGCCTTTTCGATCTTCCTTATAGAGCAGCATATGAACTCGGCATGACGAATCTGGAAATGTCCCTAGGAAGCCAGCTTTTCTATTGGCCTTCGAACTTGCGGCTCAATGAGGCTTCTCCATAATCTCTCTCTCCTCCTGCTCCACGAGTCCACCGTCGTCAAGACGTTCGTATGACTGCCATAACTGTTTACACTGGTTTATACTACCACTAGTACTACTCCACGAGCGCGTCTGTCACCTCGATCATCATCACTCACCACCACCTTCACCCTCATTATCAGCACCTTCACTTATCACCTTCACTTTCATTGTCGTGGTCGTTGAACCTAGATATCGGCATGTCCCATCATTTGTCGTGAGTATAATTCCCGGGGTGTGCCTATTCCTAAAGAGGAGGCTAGAGATGTTGCGGACGATGATGATCAGTGCGTTTCTGTCCGGCGTGGTGACTGTCACCGCTGCCTTGCACTCCTCCACCGCCCTGAACGGCGGGGTTGGCGATCCTCTCGCTCATCACGGCCGCTGTGAACCTATCACCATCAATCTCTGCATGAACATCCCATACAATGAGACGATCATGCCGAACCTAATGAATCATCAGAAGCAAGAGGACGCCGGCCAAGAGGTGCACCAGTATATGCCGCTCGTTAAAATGAAATGCAGCCCGGATCTGCGTTTCTTTCTGTGCACCGTCTACGCGCCCGTCTGTACCATAATCGAGAAGGCGATACCGCCGTGCCGGTCGCTCTGTGAGAGCGCGCGCTCCGGCTGCGAGGAACTAATGAACAGTTTCGGTTTCATGTGGCCGGAGGCCCTGGACTGCTCCAAGATGCCGGAGAATGACGGCACGGAGCTCTGTGTAGGTACCAATGAGACCACCACACGCCAGGAACCTGTGCCTGTCTCTCCTCCCGCCCGCATGCCGATGGCAGAGTTCCAACCAACCTGGAATGAGGGATTGAGGCCTCACGGTGGCATGGGCGTTGGTAATGGCAACAATTTTATCATGGGTGCCAGGGATTTTGGCTTCGTCTGTCCAATGCAGTTCAAGATCCCTCATGGATTAGGATATTCATTAAAAGTTGGAGACAAGGTGGAGCCCGATTGTGGAGCACCCTGCGACGGGATGTTCTTTACCGAGAGACAAAGAAGATTCTCCAGGGTATGGGTTGGCACTTGGGCCGCTGTTTGTGCTGCTTCGTGCTTCTTCACGTTCCTGACATTCCTCATTGATACAGATAGATTTAGGTAAAATTCGCTTTCTTGGAGATCAAGTTATGCTTTCATAAAATATATCAAACATTCAACGAGTTTCTACATCTCTCTTTCATGAAAATATTATTATTAAATTAAAGAAGTTGCTGTTAACAATTTTAATATTTGTAAATGAAATTTACCTTGATCAGCTAAAACGACTAAATTCAAAATAAAGTAATTTCTAATTCAAACTTAGATCCAAATCTATTTTAATCTCTAAATGTTTTCCGTAAAAAACTATTTTATTTATTTATAATGACAAAACTCAAAATGTGTCAAAATTGTTCTAAAAGATATTAATGATCTTTTTGAAAACTTTAACGACACACAAGTGCTATAGGTAGAAGGACTATGATGTTGGTTTACTTTTGATGATTGATAATGTAATCTTTACCTAATTCATTCATAGTAATAACTTGAAAATCACATTTTCTGAGAGAGAATTGTAAATTAAAAGAAGAATACTATCATAGAGAATCTTATAAATGAACAAAAATATAATTAGAGTTTGAAAAATGTCTAAATAAATTCATAGTTTCAAGATCTCCAAGTTTTAAATATTTATTTCTCATACAGGTATCCCGAGAGGCCTATCATTTTCTTGTCCGTATGTTACCTGATGGTGGCACTAGTTTATGTAATCGGCTGGGCAGCAGGGAATTCCATATCATGTAGGGAGCCATTCCCACCGCCTATAGGTATCCGGTTACAGACGGCTTCTACAATCACTCAGGGTACTAAACATGAACTGTGCACTGTGCTCTTCATGATTCTCTATTTCTTCGGCATGGCGTCGAGCATCTGGTGGGTCATCCTCACCCTCACATGGTTCCTAGCGGCTGGATTAAAATGGGGGCATGAAGCGATCGAAACCAACTCGCAGTACTTTCATTTAGCTGCTTGGGCCGCACCGGCCGTGAAGACTGTTACCATTTTGGCGATGGGAAAAGTGGAAGGTGAACAATTAGACAACTATAATACAAATTCCAATATTTTGCGTAAAAAGGATACAGTTGTGAAAATACGATCACTCTATATTATATTTTCTTGATTACAAACATTATGAACTACTTTATAATTTCTTTTTAAAATTAATTAATAGCAAAGTTAAATAAAAAGTTACTTTTATATTATTGTTATATTGGAAATTATATTTAATATATATATATATCTATATAAATTATATTTCTATAATTTAATTTGTAGGTGACATATTGTCCGGAGTTTGCTACGTTGGTCTTTGGAACGTGGAGGCTTGCTCTTCCGCATTCGAACGGTGATGAAGCACGACGGAACTAAGACTGATAAACTTGAGAAACTCATGATTCGCATCGGCATCTTTTCCGTGCTCTACATCGTACCTGCTCTAGTCGTAATCGCCTGCCTCTTCTACGAGCAAGCCTATTTCGACCAATGGATGCTTACGTGGAATTTGGAGATGTGCTCACGACCGGGCCTGCAGTTACTCTACTCGTTGCCGTGCCCTATCGGCGAGCGCATCCGCGATCTTAGTCGTAAACCCGACTTCGAGATTTTCATGATCAAATACCTCATGGCGATGATTGTGGGCATTACTAGCAGCTTCTGGGTATGGTCTAAGAAGACGCTTACCAGTTGGCAGCAGTTCTTCCATCACATACGAGGTCATCGCACTGAAGCCTATGTTTAAGTCCGCAGCTGCATTTGTTCACGAAGATCTACGTACTTTTTTATTTTCTTTTTGTTGAACGATCAGGTAAATTATATATGACGTTGATAGAATCTTTTCAAAAGACATTTAGACGAGAACAAATCAATGTCTTTTTCTCAATATTTTACCGTTACTTTGTTTCTTGAACTTCATAGATCTTTGTAATTTAATGTGCATTTAAGAAAGTAAGAGGATTTTTTTTTCGATAATGTATGTGGAGATAAACACCTACGATATCGTAACTTTTATAATGATGTTGTAAAAATGTGTAAGTTCAGCTAGTAATCAGCCGCATGATCGCTGATAGGAATTGTCGAATTTCTGAGTCACGTCTCGGTTTTTCTTTATAATGCAAAGCATAACCAAAACGCATTATTTTTTTATTAACATTGGAAAATCATTAGCTTTAAACAAAAATGTTAATAATTATATATTGTGTGATATCAACACATAAGCTAAAAGTTTTCTAAAATTATTTCTCGAATTTATTTATATGTAATACATTCTTCATTAATTATTTAAAATTTATTTCTAATTTTTAAGAATTTTTAGGCAAATTTATATTTATTTTCAACTTTGATTCAAATTAATTAATCAAATCGATTTGTATGAAAGTTGCAACAACATTTCGGATTGTGTTTATGATTATCTCATGAATAATTAGACATACGTTAATATTCGTCGCTGTGCCAAATAAGTTTTTTATTTCGCGTTTCTATAAACGATCTACGACTCGTAAAGTGTTTAGACTGAATGTTGATGAGTTTGGAAGTATTATTAGACGATTTATATTATTCTTTTATTAGTGTATCTCATCTCTTTTTATGAATGACTCAAGTCCCTACGTTTAAGTTGAAAATGCTCAGATGCTATAGCAGACAAATGAAGTGTTCAAAGTTTTCAAAGCAGCTAATTGGATCTTATTGGAATCCAATATAATCTGAGAATTAAGACTTTTAGTAATAAATTCGGTTGGATATACTAGCGCATACTGATGCATATTAAAATTGTCATGGCATAAATATAAAGGTGTATATGTAATAAATGATCGGACGCACTAGGTGCTAAAATACAAATTATCGCGTTGCTTGATAGAATGCAGTTTAGACATTTCATTAATCAAAGCGCTTGCATCATGCTTTTATATTTGAATTAGGTAGACTTTTATAAACAAACTGACATTAGTATGCGTTATAACGCCAACCGAATTAATTATACCTAAGGATTAAAGATCTAAATGTCTTAACAATCACTACACACTGCCGAATCTTTCCATCCTAATATCATTGATGAAGAACCGCAATCTATTACGCTTAATTTTTACGAAATATTGAGGGACATAAAAGAATATGATGATACTCAAGAAGAGATTTCGATGGCTCTTGTCAGCCGTTTTTCTTCTATGTTTGCTGTAAGGATCCTTTTTCCGCGCGACGAATGTATTATCATTTAGATTGTAATGTCAAATGTCGAGGACGCGTCTTGACGGAATCTCAACGAGATTAATTTGTAAGTTTTTACTTGTAAGAAATGTACTAGTTTAAGTTCACACTTATTGTATATAATTATATATTTTTTAATTCTATTCTCTCTATGTATTATATTTTTTTAAGAATTGTGTATATATATATATATACATTGACGTCTTATGTATGATTAAATTTGGGTTGATGACAAAGAACGAGACGCTTATGTCTTAGACGTGTATGTAGGATAAGGTCGAGAAAAATCTTAAATTGTGTAAGACTATTGTGTATGCGGTTTCCACATCTGCACGCGATAGTTCTTTACTTTTTTTGTGTGAACAAGTTATTTTTCTTTGCCTTATCCTACATCCACATCTAAGACGTAAACACTATACATCTCGTTTTCTGCCATCAGCCTTAACTCGCGAACAAATCGCGAAATCGTCCAATTGAAATTGCCGAGCTTTTGTGTACGAAGATTCTGTGCTGCGAATGCGATATGCGTGATTATTATGTACTATGGCATACGCGAAACATACGACTCCGTCGTATGTGAGATACAAAACTATGTAAATTTTATGATCACTATATTCTTTATATAATAAACAAGAGGTGCATATGTGAAGCCGATTCGTTTTGTCTAAATAATATGCATGTTTATTTACAGATTTCTTTATAAAACTGATAACATAAATATAAATGCCTACACCTTTTACATAATGTAGATTAGAATTTATCCAATAGCAAAATCGATTCATTTTAATTTATATACAAGATACACAAATATCGATCTTATAAATATAGTAGATATCTTACTTTTTGCGACTAATTTTTTTTCACAGTACCGTATTAAAAGTTTTATTAATCATCTCTCATCGAAATACGACACTTAACAATGAAATCTTTTTAATAAAAGAAACAATTATCTTATGATGTTGGCGGTGATTTGATTGGTGAAGTTGTTGATGTGGGCACTAATTTTTTTTTCGGCATTTTAAGCAAGCCTATTTTCCTCAGATATTTGACAAGCACTGGAGTCACGGACAAGGATATTCCTATTCGAACAGGTGCGAGCAGTTTATGAACTGTGTATGCTATTATGAAGTCCGTCGAAACTTTCAGCAAGCTTTCTACCTGTTCGTTTCCTCCTGTCCACTTTTGTACAAATGGTGTTACATCGATTCCACTGAAAATAAGAATTCGAATTATCAGAAAAAATTATAAATTTTCTCAAGATAAATCTCGAAAGATAAAATGATAGTTATGCTCTCATTTTCTCTTTCAAGAATTTTATTTTGAGTCATATTGTGTAAAAATTAGTATATACAAAAATTAATATAAACCTGTTAAAAAACCGAACCAAGAAAGCTAGAAATGTTCCAGAAGTTGTACATTTGAGAAGTTTTAACCAATCATTTGTTAAAAATAAATGATACTTGATCAAATATTTCCTTACTTGATATGAAATCGTTTAGATTAAAATCTTTGATCATACATGAATTTCTTTCGGTTATATATATACATGTATTAAATTTTCGATGTTAGATATTTCAGTTAGAAAAGAGGATACGATTTTTAAACGTATTACAGGGATCGCACGACTGACCTAACAACCACCATATAACAACCACTGAGGCTTATCAGCGATATAGTGATATGAAAGACGAGAAGAGTGCTTCCATAATCCCTCAACAATAGGCGAAATTTTTCCCGCTTCGAGATCATTGAGGATACCGGCACCGCGGTCTGATCCTTCTGGGATGCTTTGGAGGTGTCGGTCGAATAGCTTATTCTGGTGGTACAAATTGGCCAATATGTCGCTCGTAAAAGCGGGCTCGTTATGAAGGTATTAGTTGCTGTACCTGAGCGACATACAATTGCCTAATGTGAATTTCTGAAGTTGGATGGCCACAAAAGCTTGCGCAGTTCTTATTTACCTTGAAGATCCAACTTAAGGATCTGCAAATCCTTAAGTATATAAAAATCTTCAACAGAGCTTTTGTGACTATCCAATGTGTGCTAATATTGGTATAATATTGATGCAATATTAACATAGGAAGAAGATAAAATCCTCTTATAAACTTTTGTAACATTAGATTGTTGTTAAAATATTATGAATTTTTAGGATGTTAATCTTTGAATCCTAGCGAATTACATAAATTATCAGATTCTTAGATCTATATAACACCAGCGAAAGATCTTACTTGATTTAATTTGGTATCAATCATTTTATATTGATATTTAGATAATTTGGTATATTCATAATTGATTAAACGTTCTCTGACCCTCCAACATTTAGAGCCTTGAGATCAAAGTATCGTATTATCTTCTAGGATTCAGAGAACAGCGAAGATATTATAAAGATGTAAATCGTAAGGAAGCGAAGACGAGGAAAGCACCTCTACCCTCCAGAATCCAGTCAAAAGTCGTTCTTACACGACAACTTGCGGTAATGAGAGCGTTGCATGTCCTCGGCGATGTATTTGCCGTCGCGGGACCACTGTCCACCAGGCATGTTAAGGTGCATAGATTTGCCGCACGAGGAGAATGGCTTTGGCACGTTGCTCTGCATCGTGCCATTCAGACTGACTGCGCCAAAACAATCGTATGAATCCACATGGCTGTCATCGCGGATCTTGGGAAATCCAGAGCAGTTTGCCGTGGAGACAGAGGTACCACCGTTCTCGGTATATAACGCGATGTCACGCGCGCGTTCCGGCGTGAAGCGACCGGTCTCGTTAGCAAAGATATCACAAACGTTATTCGGCAGAGTGAGAGTCGGTGGATCTGGATAATAACGTGTGCTAGTCAAGTGCAACGGCTGCTGCTTCCGATGAACTGCCGCCGGAGTCGCACACTGCATCTCCAAGAATGCTACAATTAAAAAGTAATGTTATTACATTATAACATATTATACATATATTTATTGCGTTATATTAAAAATTTGTTATATAGAGATTTATTTTGTTTTATGAAGAACAAGCATGAAGAGAAAGACTAAATAGCAAATTTGATTACTTGCACTACACTAGATCAATGCATACTAAAAGCTGCTTTACATGAAATTAGAAATTAACAAAGTTGTAAAAGTATATAAAATGTAAAAATATATAAATATTTTAAACGATTAACTATCTACTAATGATATAGTCACGTTATTTAACAAAATATATATGTATCATTTCATTGTCAAAGTTGATTATATTGTATCACTGCATTGAGATATTTTATGTAAAGCAGCTTTTAATATGCACTGATCCAGTGTAATGCGAGTGATCGAATTCACCATAAAACATTGAATAAGACTAAGGGCCTTACCAGAAAGCTGACTTATAATCTTGAGACAGTGTCTTATAACTTAAAGTCTTGTCTTTAGTAACATACAATAACTGTCTTAAGATTTTAAGTCAGTCTTTCTACTACGGCTCTAAGAAGAAAGATAAGAAAGAAAAACAGTTGGAAAATAAATAGAAAGTAGAACAAATGAATTATTCACAAAAACAGTACAGTTAGTTTATGCTGAAACTTCGAAGGTCAGAAGTTTAATAAGTGAATATTTTTATACTTATAGTTAGATTTTTTATTTAAACTATAAATATTCAGAATATTCAAATGTTCAAGATTATGAATATTTTAAGAAAAAGAAATCGAAATAAAATGAAAAAAGAACCATGTTTTATTATACATTTAATTACATTTTATGTATTATGTTATCTATAAGGCAGAAATTAAGAAATAAATTAAAAACGAAAATACATATATATATTCATAAGGTATAATAAAATTAAAATAGATAAATGTATATGATAAAGTTTTTATGCTAAAATTATATCTATGTTAATATAAAGATTATTATGTAAAGTGATTATCATGACCGTGATGTAAAATAAATACAAGGATAAGGTAACATATTATAATAAACATTGAGCAAAATTTGCTATTTAAAAAACTGCATGTACACTTTAAAAAAATTATAAATTTCTTATAAATATATACATCTCAGTGATGAAAGATTAAGCCATGGATATGAGCTGAATATTGTTGATATGGAAAAAGCCAGCATCTCTCATTAAGATAAATGTGTTATATCGATTTTATGGTTTTTTAGAAAGATAATTCGTAGTTTGAATTATACTGTAATACTACAGATGCTACAAAATATTTTAAATAATTTCTAAACATATAAGGTAAACGTCCCAGTGTCCGGACATGTACTTATGTCCGGAAACTTACACAAAATTTATTATTATTAATCTCAAATGCTTTTTTATTACAGTATTATAATTTAATTGCATTTAAAGATTACAATTAAATTATAATATTACGTTTTAAAAAGCGTATTTGAGACTAATATTAACTTAAATAAATAAAGTATTATGTAAATGGACATAGGTTATATCCGGACAGTTACACAAAACTTTATTTATTTATATTAATATTAATCTCAAATGCTTTTTTTACCTTAAAAAGATCAATTTGAATTAGTTGTCTTTTGTCATTAAATATCTATTTATATTATTATTTTCCATCAGCATATTAATTTTCCAATTGTGGTTGGACACTGGGATAATTACGTCTCAGTGTCCGACCAGCTTGTCCGGCCACTGATGCATTGACACATTCTATTATTTATTTAAATATTTTAATTAATAATTGTCATAAGTGGGTTCAAATAATTTTTCCTTGCTTAAGGGAATCTTGAGTTTTCAAATGAATACAAATATTTATATTAAAAACCTTTTTGATCATAAATTGTATTATTTATGAGAACTTAACGCTTAAACGTCCGGTTACTGGGACATCTACCTTAAATAAATCTTAAAAACCACTATCTAATACAATCATGTTAAATTAGAAAGTTAGAATGATTATATGTATAGCAGACTATACATATAGCTTCGTCATTCCTAGTATTGACTTCATCTTTCAAACTGCAAAAACAGAAACAGCAGCACTTAGATATAATCTTCACAATATATTGTACGCACATTTACGGTTAAAACGGAGCGAAAAAATAATGCAATTTGTGAAAAGTAATTTGTACCTGCGCGCGAGACGCGAGTCAAAGTATTCAACATTTCCACACTGCCGATTCTCAACAATGCCATGGCTAGATTCGCCGAATGTTTCAGCTGCGCGGAAACGGCACTTATTACCACTGATCGATGAACTGATGAGGCGTTAGAATAATTAAGAGAAATCAGGGATAAGTGATTCACACTACTTGTCACTCTGCAATGTCCTTAAACCTTGAACAACGGTGAGAGAAACATGAAAGTACCGATATAGTAGATTTCTTCTATTCCAAAGATTCAAAGTGCCTTGGAAAATACCGGTCACTATCTCGGACAACCCTATAAGCGCAAAATGTTCCTAGAATGTTACATGAATATTATTAAAAAAAAATTAAAATAATGTTATAATATTTCGAAAATATCATAAATATTTTTTTAATATTACAGGAGTATTCTATAGAGGTTATATGTCCACTTATATAATAAACCTAGGTATTATATTTTAATATTCCTGAAACATTAAAATATTAATAAATATTAATTATTTTTAATTTTGTGCAATTTGAATTCACAATCCAGTAACGAAAAGTT